GCGGACTCTTTAAGTTAAGTTGGCTGTTATCTTGTCAGAAAATTAAGGAAAAAACAAAGAGATAATCATAAAAAAATTTACATTTTGGGAAAAAAAAAAAAAAAAAGGTTAATGAAGTCTCCCCCAAATGTGAAATAATTGTTGCTCAACACCTTAATATGTTGGATCTTCTACCTTTATTTATTCATAAAAAAAAATTGAACATAAAAAACTCATTGATTTGGGAACAAGTATCGAGAATTTAGACTCATTATATTTTGACATCATATATTAAGAACTGAAGAAAATGAAAAGTTCCAATAATTTGCCTAAAAATACATAAACAATCAATCGAATGCAATATGACATAAACGTTAAATATAGGGATGGTCCATATACCCACGAGCTTGGCTCGTTTCTAACGATACGAGCTTCTACTCGACTCTTTACTCAAGGGGCGAGCTCGGCTTGGCTCAACCCTCAAGCTTGTGGCTCATGGGCCGAGCCGAGCTTAGGCTCGTGGGCTCGCAAAATATATCTTTTTTTTTACTGAATAAATAGATAAAATATAAAGCATCTTCCTTCATTCGAGTTTGGGACTAGTTAGTTAAATTTTGAATAGACGGAATTAAAAATTGTACACGAACAACTTATAACGTGTACAATTTAAAAAAAATTAAAACCATTATTATAAAATAACAAATTATGATATGGCTTATTTAAATATCACTTACCTATGTCATGTGGGCTCAAGGCTCTGACATATGATAAATTGAAAACTGAAAAATATTTTAGATATGATATTTAAAACATTTTTTAGATCATAATTTATCATATGCCATATAGATTTAGACCTGACCTAAAACTTGAGAAAAGACTAAAGAGTACAAAAAGACTTGATAATTTTGGAAGAGCATATCTAGATACTAAAGAGAGTTGTTGAATTCAATGAATTGTGCGAAAAAAGTGGGTTAAGTTCCAAAATTTATAGAGAGGGAAGGAAAAAAATTGGAATACCCATGAGCGACTCACAGGCGAGCTGCAAGCTGAACTTGGGCTTGCGGCTTTTTTTTTTTTTAAATAGATAAAATATAAACCCTCCTCCTTTATTTGGCTTGGGATCAGTTACTTAAATTTTAAGTAGACTGAGTTAAAAATTTTATACGAATAACTTGTAACGTGTATAATTTTTTAAAGAAAATTAAAAACATTATTATAAAATAACAAATTTTGATTAAAAGTGTAACTAAATATCACTTACCTGACGACATTTAATTTCGGTATATTTATCTTGTAGTCGAAAATGAGCATCCTATCAATCATTCATGTACATTAATGCTTTCAAAATATTTTCTTTCAGTTGGTTTTTGACCTCGGACAAAACCCTCTTACATGCACTAAAAGTAGACTTCGATGCTAAAATGCTAATCGGAGGGGTCAGTAAATCTTTTACAATTGCAAAAATTACTGACCATCGTGGTTCGTACCTCTGCTAGAATTCTATAACCTTTTCGAAACTTTTTAAAATTGTTTTATTGATAGGCATATTATAATTAAAGTAATCAATTAATTCAATAGACAATGTATTTGCACTTCCCTCCGATGTTTGGTTAGATGCAGAAGGCAAAGTATTACTAGATGAACCTATTGCATTTGCATCATACCTATACGTGTTAATGCCTTCAAATAAATTTAATATTTCAACGTCATCTTTGTCAATTTCGCTGAAAGAGTGCGCACAAAGGATACTCGATTAATATTTGTACCAATTCGTTCTACATATAATTCATACATTTCACACAAAATTTATTCTAAATTTTTATACGTGGTAGGTGTACTATAAGTTAAAGCTCTTGAAGTTTGATCAATTACATATTTAGTTCCTAATAAATTATAACGGGGTCCATGATGCATGCTAAAGAAAATAACATAGGTAAATTTTCCCAACATTTTCTAAACTTTAATTCCATAGAGTATATAATTGTTTTAAAATCGAGGTCATTTTCGTATTTATGAAATGTCCTTACAATTATATAAAGATGTTTGAACACTATACAGTTAGTGAGATAGTAAATTTCAGATAAAATATTTGTACTATCATAAAAATTGTCAAATTTTTTTTAACTTTTAAAACTAAAAGCCAATTGAATTCATTCACAATAGTTTTGTTATTGTTTTTAATATGCCTATTGTTATAAAACTCAGTTATTAAATATTCAATACTTTTGCATGACTTTAATAATAAGTAAGTGAAGTTTCATCTATGATCTACATCACTAACAAATGTTTTAGCATTCGTCATCCAAAATTCGACACAAAATTCCTCAAATGCTTGTTTTCTATTAGGAAAGATCGTGATATATATTAGTTCATTCCTAGTTCTTTATATTTCATCTTTAATATATTTCAAACCATCTTGTACAATTAATTTTAAAATATGACACACACAACGAATATGAAACAAATCAAAATCAGGCTGCAATACCCTACACAATTTATCAATAGCTAATTTATTAACAGTAGTGTCGTCGAATGTAAAAAAAAAAAAAAAAAAGAGAATTTTACTTTCACAACAATATTCTCTAATAATAGTCACAATTGCATTATATATATTGTTAGCGTTGTGGGATAATTCAATAATTTTAAAAGTAATAATTTTTTTATACATACACTAAAGTGGATTTATGTAGTGTGTAATTACAGCTATATAAGCTATTTTATTGATCCTCCGATATATTCGAAGTTAAAGATATAGTACCCCCCATATTTTTAAAAATCCAAAATCAATTGTTGTTTTATTTGAAGAAAATATTTTAGTGTATCTAAACGAAGAGTCTTTCGACTTACCCCAATGTACCTTAGTTGAAGATATTCTTTCACATATGAAACGAAATGTTGGTTGTCCGTTATTGCAAGAGGCAATTCAACATTAGCAACAAGTTTCACCATGCTCGTTCGAGCATTCTCTTCTGAATACACCCACGTGGTGAGGGGCGAACTTGTAGAACCAGTGCTTGGATTATCAAATTGCAGTTGTGTTTGACCGATTTGAAGAAGTTCATATTTGGCCGCACATACTTTGTAGTGACGGTTGAGGTGGTTGGTACCAATGCCTTTTTGCCATACCAATCATTGTTGGCAGTATTTACATACTGGCTTTGAACTCTAGGACTCTATCAATGACATGGCCCGTTGAAATCAATTTGAAGTTATCCCAGTATTTTGCCTTTTTTGGTTTCACTTCTTTAGCATCGAGAATGTTTAATTCGGGTTCCTCCTCTTGTTCCGCTTCAACTTCGAGAACATTGACGTCATCCAAATCAATTAGATTATTGCTTCCTTCTGCAACCAAATTTGGAATATCTTCAGGAATTGATACTTCATTTAGACCGAAATTTTGATTCTGATATCGACTTTGCAGCGTCACAGGTGATTCGCTTCCGACATCGAACAAGCCCTAGACAAATGAGTGTGGATTCATTTCAATTTGTGAAATGTGATGATACAGTATATATGATATAGTAAGACGTAAGTACTAAGACTTGAGTAAAGAGTACGAAATTAAAATTGTGAATTTGTAGTGTGAGAAATGAGAATTGAATGAATTGAAATGTAAATATGAATGTATATTGTATAATTATAGATAATTGACTAATTGAGGCTAATGCTATTGAGCGCAAGAGAGATTGAGAAACAGAGAGTTGTTGAAAAAATTTAGGGGTATTAGGCTATTTATATAGAAGGGATTCAAGGTTCGCCCAAGAGCGGCTCACCAATTTGCATGCCGAGCACAGGCCGATTTGCTTAGCTCGTGCTCGTGATTTTACGAGCTCCGAGCTGTCCATGAGCCCAATTTTCACGAGCTAAAATCTAGATAAGGATGTAAACGTGATTACTTGAAAAGTTCCAATAATTAGTCTAGAAGTATCATAAACAGTCGAATGCAATTAGAGATAAATGTTAAATACAAAACCCTAAAATCTAGATAAGGATGTAAACGTGATTACTTGAACCTTTGTCTTTTCTTCGAGGAACCTTCACTTAATTTCAATTGCTACAAATAAAATAAAGGAAGAAACCGATCACAAACCACGGAAAATTGGTGCACTTCATTATTGGATGAGCAACATTATTTAGCGTCATTGGTGCCATTTAAATATCATTTAAGCCATTGTTTGACAACCATTATAATGAGAAATTTTGGTAAAAATTTTTATGGAATAGTATTTTATGGGAGAATGTGAGATTAAAAAGAAGGAAATTTTTTTAATTTATGTGTAATATTGTTTTATTGAAGAATGTGAGGTTGAAAAGAAGAGAAAAATACATTAAAATTTTAATCTGTGTCAAACAAGGGCTGTGACATTAATTTACTATAAATCATGTAAAAATTATGAATATAAGTACTATTTAAGATAACCTATTTTTATTTAAATATGCCTAAATTCGTATAGCACCAATTACATTACATAACTATCCATAAACTAGTCGTTTTAATTGAACAATATTTATGGGAAACTACACCTAGACAAGAAAAGGGTAACTGACAGTAATTGATATTCTCGGAGAGTCTCTCTACTTTCATTATGAAGGACTCATATGATTCCTGATAATTTGGAGAAATATATTTTAGAATAGTTGATTGATAAAAAATGTGGTTAAAAAATTTCATATTTACCTATAGTATTATTTTGTTGAAAAATGTACGATTGAAAAAGAAGAGAGAGAAAAATACATTTAAAAAAAAAAAAGATTGAAAAAGAAGAGAGAGAAAAATACATTTAAAAAAAAAAAAAAAATAAGAGGGATCAAAAGCAATTTTTTCGGATATACGCCATTTAGTATAAAAGTGAAAAGAATCCAAAGAAAAATATGATTCTTAATGTGCAAAGCACTACAAAATTCGACAAGTGTCTCGACACCTGTAACTCAGCAAAACCATTTAGCATGCCACGTGCAGTATTAATGTATCCCTTTGCCTTATTTATATAATATATCACTTCTCTTGGGAGATTCTTGAACAAGGATATTGGATAAAGGTGAAATAATTCGGTGCAAGTGTGTAGTTTTTTGTGAGAAGAAAGGAAGAAAAATGGCACGAACTGTAGCAAGGAATTTGGCAGCTCCATTGCTGTTTCTGAACTTGATTATGTATTTTATTGTGTTGGGATTTGCAAGTTGGTGTATGAATAGGTATATCAATGGCCAAACTAATCATCCTAGTAAGTCTTTCTTTCTCTCTCTTTTTCTCTCTATTCCCCACTTGGTAGGGGACAAGATTTTATAGTTTTCTAAAATGGATTTAGACTTTTTTATTTTTTTAAATATTGTTAGACACTGCAAAATATATCTTTCCAAACGAGCCACAATACTATTACTGGCTGGGAATTAATAACTAATTATAGTGCTACAAACATATTTAAAACCATGTTTTTATCTGAAATTCTCATTGATTTTTCAGGTTTTGGAGGAAATGGGGCTACCATGTTCTTTCTCGTATTTGCCTTACTCGCTTCCGTCCTGGGAATTGTGTCGAAAATTGCAGGCGGGAATCATCTACGAGTATGGAGAAATGACAGTCTTGCTGCTGCAGGCTCATCGTCCTTAGTTGCGTGGGCAGTGACTGCACTCGCTTTTGGGTATTTGTTTTACGAATTAAGTTACTTGTACAGAAACATTTTTACCCATTCGTTGGCTGATGTTGAAGCATGAAAGTAGCTTGACTCTTGTTTTACATAATTAACATTCAAGTATATCTCGACTCATTTCACTAACGATTTGGTACTAAAATGTGCAGTTTGGCTTGCAAGGAGATAAACGTAGGAGGGTGGAGAGGATGGAGGCTAAGGGTAGTCGAAGCTTTCATTATAATTTTGGGGGTCACTCAACTGCTCTATGTTATGTTGCTTCATGCAGGGTTTCTCAGCAGCCGGTATGGACCCGGGTACAGGGACCCCGGCTACGGAGTCGGAGCGCCTGGAGAAGAGCATGTACCCAAAGGTGGTGGTGTCACTGGGACAAGGGTTTGAATACTTATGTTTTCCTTTCGAATAAACGAGAAACAATGTTTAGAAGTGTTTTATTTTCATTTGCTGTTACTTTATGTTTAGTAAGTGAATTACTTGGATTCGACACTTGAATATGTTGTCGACTTCTGGTTTATGTAAATGGTGCTAGTGGATCACTCGTGTCTTATGATCACTAGTTTTGGGTGTTGAAATGTTTGGATGTTTTCTCCTTTATTTTCTGCTTGTAATAAGTGTTTCCTTATTTTCTACTTGTCTACTTGTAAGAAGTGTTGTTTCATTCTAGAAAAACCTTGAAAATCTTGTTGGTGATACAACTCTGTCACGCTTTATAGAGATAATTATAGAGAGATTGGAATTGACAAATTGACAAACACGTGTGAGTGTGCCTCTCTTTTGGTGTTTACGTGTTCAAATAAGAGAATGGAATAAATATTCACGATAAAAGTTATTCCATTCAAATGATGCAGGATACTGTTCTTATAGTTTATCGAGATTACAATATGTCATATGCATATAAAGGTCACATATGACAACGACTTATAAAATAACTTGGATCTTATTGAAGCTTCAACGGCTAGTTGTATCATATACAGAGCTTCAAGCTGCAACAATAAGCAAAAAGTATGCATGAATATGAATATGAAAATACAAATACTTTATATTCTTGTCAAATATTCTGCTAAAAATGCATTTAAATTCAAATATTCGGGCAAAAGAATTTTATTTAAATGTTTTCTTATCATTGAATTCTTGATGCAACTCTTTATGTACCGAATATAACTCTATGCAACATCAATAATCAATAATTAGATGTCAAATAGACGTAGTTGCAAATATCATTTAAGCATCGTATGCCTTGATTCTATAGCAGTAGACAATGATATGTAATTTTTTATAATGTAAATTTATTTCTCAAATCATGTCATGCATGTAAGATTTTAAAATATGGACATATGTTGTCGTGATGCACGTGCAAATATTAATGAATAACAGACTCAAAATCTAAATGGATACCAATATATCTTGAAACCACATACTAATTTAATGTGTTGATGCATGATAAGTGTATTTTTGCACATTTATTTAGGTCACAAACATGACTTAATAACGAGCAAAATGATTAAATTGTGAATTAATCTTGTATCTTTGTGAATTGTAGGGAACAACGATGAACATGGTGAAATTTAGGAGAAGAGACGCGAAAAGGACTAAAATGACGCAAAGTGAAAGTTCAGGGACCAACGTGCAATTATCTAAAAGTTGACCCGATAAACAAATAGAGTAATTGATTAAGCTAATTGCCAATTGACGATATCCTGAGAAGATGGAATGAAAAGAATGAAGAAAAGATGTCAAGAAGTGAAGGATTCAAGTAAGAAGACCAAAATGAACATTTTTCATAGTTGGTAGCACTATGCGACCGCATAGTGTTACCCTCTATGCGGTCGCATAGAGGCATACCGAAGCTAAATGGCCACAACATTTTTACTCTATACGACCGCATAGATTTGCTCTATGCAATTTCCGGGTAAAATTGCAGTTTCCTTTTTTCGCCGAAACTCTTATGGAAATAATATTTTTAGGGTTCTATATAAACAAAAACTTGATCAGAATGAAGGGGACACCGTTTTTACAAGTTTTTGAGAGATTTTGAAGAAGAAATAAGGAGAGAACAAGAGGATAATATCGCCCCTAGTGAAGATTCGATTGAAGATTAATTCGGGTGATGACGTTTCTTCAAATATTTTTATGTTTTCTTCTTTTTAGCATGTTAGGCTAGATTTATCATTGCTAGGAGATCGATGAACCTTGCAATATTACGTTTGATTTTTTACTTGGATTTTTGATGTATTTAAACACAAGTTCCGGAATTGATTGATTTATTACGTTTTTATTTCCATATGATTATTGTGCACATAATTATGTGGTTGTGGTGGCCTATTTTATGCATTAGAAAGAAGGAAACTAGGTTCAACATAGTATAAATCATCATAGGGTCCGATAGGTAATAGAAATATACCTCTATACCTTGTGTGAAATATTGGATATTCATAAATTTATAATGCATTTAGGTATGTTAGTATTCGTCATAGAAATATAGTCGAATCATATATTGGGATAGGTTTGGCATTGCTCGAGAGATATTGCTAAATTAAAATAGGAATATTGATTTATTTTTTATGGAACTGCGTGTCAAACTTGCATGATTGAAAATTGAACGGGTATTACTTGGGGATTCGTGATCCTAGTGCGTTAGTATATTCATTAATTTCATAAATTCGAGTTAAATTGCATCTAAGTTATTTTGCATTTAGTATAATTTTTCATTCATAATTGCATCAACGTTTACATCTATTTAGTTAAAGTACAAAACATCAATTTTGTTTTCGTATTTCGGTTGAAGTCATAATAGGTTAATTCGAACTAATTAAATCCTTGTGGGATCGATACTTGGACTCATGGTCCATTTTACTACTTGTTAATGAATCGTACACTTGCGGTGGATTTTAAATCGGAACAAATAATTTCGTAAACAAGTTTTTGGCGCCGTTGCGGGGAATTGAAATTTAGTTTTAATTTTATCTTTTGTGACACTAATTTGAACTTTTCTAGATTAGTAGTAGTTAGCCTACTAGGTTTAGTTTATTACTTTAATTTAATTTTGTGTTAATTCTGTTATCTCAGGGCTATTATGTAAGGAGCACTTGATCAAAACTTGGTTCCCATAGATCCAGAGATCGAATGCTCTTTTCGTCAAAGGCAAAGAGAAGCAAGAGCGGCACAACAAATGGCTAACAAGCAAAATCGATCGATAATTCCACTCAACGAAGGCATGGCAGTTGAAGATGATGGGAATACAGTACTTGGGGACTTCATGGCTCCGTTGGTAGTCCAAAGAAAATCTAGCATTGTTTATCCTCCATTTGGGCAACCGAATTTCCAACTGAAAACAAATGTGATTCAACTATTTCTGAGCATCAATACCACGAGATGGCTAGTGAAAATCCGCATACACACATATCCCGATTTTTGGATATGTGCCAACACTTCAGGTACCAGGGTATCTTGGACGATGCTATAAGACTGCGTTTGTTTCCACACACTTTGCGGGATAAAACACTTGAATGGCTGGATTTACTTCCCGTCGCAAGCATCACCACTTGGAACGAGCTAGCCCACAAATTCTGCACCAAATTCTTCTCGCCAGCTAAGGTAGACAAAATGTGGCATGACATCTATATATTCAACCAATGTGAGTCCGAATCATTTGAAGAGGCATGGAATCGTTTCAAAAATATGTTAAGGAAGTGTCCTCAACATGGCTTCGATAAGACACAGATCCATTTTTCGATACTGGACTACTTCCATCCTTCAAGAGCATGGTGGACTCATCATCCGACGGATCTATCTCCGCAAGAACAATTGACGGAGCATGGGAGCTTTTTGAGAAAATGACTACAACTTCAGTCGTGTGGTCTACAGATCGAGTGGTTCAGAAGAGAACGCCGGGGGTTTATGAAGTTGATACTTACTCAGCATTGTCTGCAAAGATAGACTCCTTGTTCCATAAGGTCGAAAGCATTTCACAGACCACCACTGCAAAACAAGTCAAGAAGCCAAGCTGTGAAGAATGTAGAGTAGACCACAATACCGTCAATTGTCCAATTCTCACACAGGGGGTCGAACATGCAGATTTTGTGCAATGGAGTTAACGCCAACAGAATAACCCACATTCGAAAACCTTCAATCAGGGCTGGAGAAACACCCAAATTTTTCGTGGAGTAATCAAAATCAAAACAGACCACAAGGTCAATATCACCAGCAGGATAAAAAGCCACCATTGGAAGAGATGTTCGAGAAGTTCATGGCAACAACTAATCAATATATGGAAGCCAACAACCAGTTTATGCGAAAGACAGATGCAACTCTTCAAGACAAAAGTGCAGCAATAAAAAATTGGAGACACAAATGGGACAGATGACAATCTCCATGACAGGTGGAGCACCAGGAAACTTACCTAGAAATACTGAAATCAACCTTAAGGAGCACGCAAAGGCTATAACAACCAGAAGTGGAGTACAACTACCGGAGATACATGTAAAAAGACCGGTAGCTAGCAAGAAATCAGCACCAACCTCAGATGACGAAATTGTAGAACAGACTGAACAAACAATAGGGGATGTGGTCAAAAAGAATTCCAATACATCACGAGGTATAGCTACCATTCCTATCAACCCTCATGAGCCTCATATTCCATTCCCGCAGAGGTTGAAAAAGCACAAATTGGATCAGCAATATAGTAAATTTCTCGAAGTCTTCAAGAAACTACACATCAACATCCCATTTGCTGAAGCACTTGTTCAGATGCCGAGCTATGTAAAATTTCTAAAGGATATCCTTTCTAACAAGCAAAAGATAGAAGAAAATGAAACAGTGATGCTAACTGAGGAATGCAATGCCAGAATCCAAAAAAAGCTGCCTCTAAAACTAAAGGATCCAGGGAGTTTTACTGTACCTTACACTATTGGGAATTGTCATTTTGATAAAGCGTTGTGCGATTTAGGTGCAAGTATTAATTTAATGCCTCTTTCTATTTTCAGGAAACTCGGCTTAGGAGAAGCTAAAGCAACAACAGTCACATTACAGTTAGCAGATCGATCCCTTACACATCCAAGAGGGATCATTGAAGACGTGTTGGTAAAAGTGGAGAAGTTCATATTTCCAGGCGATTTTCTCATTTTAGACATGGAGGAAGATAAGGATGTTCCACTCATATTAGGGCGACCTTTCTTAGCTACTGGAAGAGCGATTGATGTTCAGAAAGGATAGCTTATATTGAGGCTTAGCGAAGAGCAAATCTCTTTCAACGTGTTCAAGGCAATGAAATTCCCCATTGAGTCAGACAGCTATTTCCAGATCGATGATTGATAGAATAATTCAAGATACATTTCGGCTACATCATCCTTCTGATGCATATGAGGCATGCATTGTACAGTCTCAATCCACTTATACTAATTCAAGTGAGATTGAAACGTGTGCACGATTATGAGGCATGCATTGTACAGTCTCAATCCACTTATACTAATTCAAGTGAGATTGAAACGTGTGCACGATTTTTGGAAACTAATCCACCATACATGCGTAAGCGTCACTTCGAAGAACTGGGAGTTAGGACCACAAAGTCAGTGCCATCTATTCAGCAACTCCTAAGTTGGAACTCAAACAATTGCCACCACACCTTCGATATGCCTATCTGGGAGAATCT